CCATCCAAATTACATGTTTCACAAATTATCCCTATGGAGGTTAAAACTCCCTCCCCATCAGATTCCTTTGCAGCCAGAAAAAAGCCGTGCAGGTCCATCCTTACAAATTCAGGACTTGAAAGTAACAAACCAGGATCCCCATCTTAATAGGATAAGTCAGCATTCTTATGGAAAAGATCAAAGTCACAGAAAAGAATTCCTAATGAATACATTAAACCAATCTGATATTAAGACAAGTAAAACTATACCTTCTGAAAAACAAAATTCATCCAAACAAGAAAATCAGGTGAAAAAATAACCAAGAAAGAACTTGGCCAGTTAGATTCTAAATCTAAATCTAAATCACCTTTGAAAAACAAATTCTCTCACACAAAAGACTTGAAAAATCAAGAATCTGAATGCCCAAGGGTGTCTGACATGAGTAGGAGAGATCCAAGATTTAAAAAAAACATGTTCAAGATAAGACTGATAGCAAAGATGATAATATAAAAGAGAAGAGAAAAACTTCAGAAAAAAAAGATAAAGATGAGCATATGAAATCATCTGAACATAGACTGGTTGGAAGTCAAAATAAAATCATTAATGGCATTGTACAAAAACAAGATGTAGTAACGGAAGACTCAGAAAAACAGGGAACAAAACCAGGGAGATCAAGTACTAGAAAGCGATCAAGATCGAGATCACCCAAGTCTCGGTCACTAGAAAGTGCAAGATCGAGATCACCTGCCAGAAGCCGGTCCATCTTTGCTGCTTGACACAGTCGCTGCAGGGAAGAAACATCTGCACAGCATATGTTTCAAGAGACCTGGCGTATATGACATACTGTTCTCTTTATGTTTGCTCCCCATCTTAGCACTATGTGTTTTAACCAAGACCACCTCCGAGGTTGTTTCCCCAGGTGAGGATTTTTCCCTGAAGTTAGGGATTAACAGGACTAAGAGAAGAGAAGAAATCAGTGAAACTCCCTAGTGTTACAGAAATACCATGAAGAACTTGGACCAAGACT